AAAGAATCCAATGTGTTGAAATTAAGTACATGCTAAATAATCAATGCGTGTGTCCTAAGAGCTATTCATTGCCAAACTAGTCTGGCCCTTATTTAAGTCATCCTTCATAGGTATTCTGCATCGTTCAATACCTAATAAAAAATAACTGAGATACCAAAAGCACACGGTACCAAAAGCACTCAGCCAGGTCACTTAGCAAAGTTCAATGTTGAGGAGCTACTCTCCACAGTTTCAACATGTGTTGTGACAACTTTTATCTGACTATATTTCTAAGAATGACTGTATAGCAAACAATCTTGGAAGAAAAAGATAGTGTCTCCCACTCGGCAGAGAACATGTCTTTAGTGACGAGAATAAGTTTTAAAATCTCTCCCTCTGGAACAAATTTTGGCAAATTGGCTAGCATCTTCTTTATAATACTGAGACTCAGCATTCCTCAGCTATGACACAGATCCACTCTGTGCACACTGTTTATCTAGATCCTTCCACATCACTCCACAGGATTTAGGGGACAAGGGGAACCAAAAAGAACAGGAAGCTCAAGCTTCTTGCTGTGCCTTGAATAATAAATCCTTTGTCTCTGATCCCAGAGTCTCGTGTCTTCTGCTAGCATTTTAAAACTATGGCCGACTAACTTGTTATTTTGCAAGCAGGGTAAAATCTCAGACTCTTCATAGTTCTTGACACTAAGCTAAATAAGCAAAGCCAATTGGGATAGAAACTAACATCCAGGGACTTCTGCACGTGGCCAAGATAGAGTAGAGAGCCAAATTTATCATCAGACCAAAATAATTATAAGCTAAGAAAAATATCCGAAAACAATGCTGTTAAGACATTTGGACATCAGTCAGTGTGCAACAGTGATCTCTGAGAGAGGGGAAACAAAGTGCCTGCATGAATTTCCAGGCTGCAGGAGAAGAACACAAGAAGAGCCCATCGGTCTCTCTAAGTTAAAGAGATAGAGTTGAGAAACCTAGGCAATTAGAATTTGCAAGGCAGAGGACAAGATAGGAGGGAGTTGGACAGAGAAAGAACTCCAGAGATGTGGAGAGAATTCTCTTCCCGTCATCAACTGAGTACTGATAAGTGCACGTGTATGAAGAAACTACCGAAGGCAGAGAAAAGAACCCCCCGGAGCTCACACAGGGCAAGGAATCATTTGTGTTCCCAATAGCCAGAGTGAAAAAGTGACGGAGAACTCAGAAGAGTACTGCCTCAGTAGTGGGGTAAAATTATCCCCAGACTAAAGACTTCTCTGGATCCACCAACACCTCAAAAGGATCAAACTATTTCCAAGTAATTTAGCTGCATCCCAGAACAAAGTTCAAGAATATTTATAAGAACATGAAAATATCCAGCATGCAACAAGGTAACATTCACCATGTCTGGCATCCAATCAGAAGTCACCATACGCCCAGACGTTCTTTTTCTCTTCCAACTCTTCTGCCTCCTGCTCCCTCTTCCTCAGCAAAGGCAGATAAAAGAAATCAGAAGTATTATAGCTCCCTTTAAGAAGAACCTATTACAGGGAGAGGTGAACCGTCCTCGGTGCTTACTTTACACACCCTGGACCTGAGCAGAACTTAGAGCCTGGGCTAAGGAATTTCCCGACCTGAATCAGCATCCACTGGGATTTCCTAAGGAATTTGAGTTAAACATCCAGACCTATGAGCCTCGATATCAATCAGTATTTACTTAATTGGAAATTAAAGGAAATCTCACCCCCCCCAAAAAAAAGTCACCATACATGCAAAGAAGCAGGAAAATATAACTCATAAATGGGGGGTGGGGAGATACCCAGGGATATTCTTCCTATTCAAACTGTGGGTCACAGACCAGCAGCGTCTGTGTCACCTGGGAGCTTGTTAGAAATGCCGAAAATCTTAGTCACCACCTCAGCTCTACTGAATCAGAATCTGCATTTTAATAGGATCCCTTAGGAGATTAAATTCACATTAATAGTCACAGAACTAAAACTCAGAAGTCAGGTGAGTCACTCTAAGGAGTAACTTAGAAAAAATGCTTTCTCAGAGACTTCTATGAAGAATATGTATGTGGAAAGGAATATTTATTAAGCATATCCTAGATTCTGGATATTTTATTTCCTAAAAATATAATAAAGTAATATATGCACTTGTTAAAAAAATAAAATTCTATAATAGGTGTTTTAAATGAAAAGTAATGTTCCCCGACCCATCTTTTCCAATCTGAACTCTAGCTTTCAAGAAGTGAACACTTTTTTTTTTTTTTTTTTTTTTTGCGGTACGCAGGCCTCTCACTGCTGTGGCCTCTCCCGTTGCAGAGCACAGGCTCCGGACGCGCAGGCTCAGCGGCCATGGCCCACGGGCCTAGCCGCTCCGCGGCATGTAGGATCTTCCCACACCTGGGCACGAACCCATGTCCCCTGCATCGGCAGGCGGACTCTCAACCACTGCGCCACGAGGGAAGCCCAAGAAGTGATCACTTTTGACTTTTTTGTTGTAGCTCTTCTAGTAGTTTAGTTCTTTAATATTTAAAAATATGCTTACATTAAAATCTCTTGATCTGTCAAATCTGACTCTCTGGTATGAAATATAAAGACAGCTTATTAATTCTATTTCTTCTCTCTAGCCTCTCCTAATTTTTGATAGTTATTATCAATTTTTACTATAACTTTACTATACATTTCTACTGGACACCTATATAATTTTAAATAATTAGTATGTATAATATTTCTTTTTTTCTTAAAAAACACTGCATCCTTTGATGGCAGTAATACAATTACTGGATTAAGAGACCACAGCAGAAAGGACAGGTGACATTTCTGGAAGACAGATATGGAATACAGAAAGGGGGGAAATAGGGTCATGTGACAGTCACTGTAAAAATACAGTACATTCTATAGATACCTGCACCATCAACTTTCAACTGTGAAATAGTATTTACACTTTTGTTACAATCCTGGTTAGAGAACAATGTTTCTTTAAAACCTCAGCCTGACAGCAAATGAAAATCTCAGGTGAATTCATAGTCCTGTGAGGTGCTTAGGCTGAAGATTCCAAGAGGCTGGTTCCAGCTTCATCCACAGATTTCTGTTTTTAAAAGGTATTGAGTTTTGCTTTTACAAAACAAAATTCCTAGAGGAGGGGGAAAAAAACCAACCATAGCCACAGCATGTATCTTACAAACACCAAGGGCTACAACCCTCTGCTTCAAGGCCAACACTCGTGGCTGAAGAAAAATCTCACTAATCATTGTTTAAAAAAAAAAGACAAACCAAACCAACCTGATCATGGCACACTGACCTTGGGGGGCTGCCCCTCCCGCCCTTGCTTCTGGCTGCAAACTCGATGGCTATTTCTTTTCTGGGGGAAGGGGGTTTGGTATAGGAGCCTCGTTCACCTGCCACCCCAAGGAGTTGGCAGGGGGAACCCTGTGGCTGGCACACCAGGTTTCCTGATAATTAGCAAGGAAGAGTCAGGGGCCTTAATAAGGTGGCTGAGGAGGTGGGATGAGGAGGAAAAGGCAGGAGACCACCGGCAAGTACCGACACAGAGGCGGGAGGGACCCCCGGCCACACAGGCCTCGCCCACTCCCCTTGGGCCTGTCTCCCCAGGCCACAGCCACGGGGTGGGCTTCCTCTGGGGCTCTGTGGACAGCACTGGACCTCGGCCAGGTCCTGGGGGAGTCCACTGCAGGCATCTCTGCTCCCTTCCCAGTTCCAAGCTCCCCACTCACACCAGGAACAGCAGTCCCTCTCCTGGAGAGGGCCCAGCAGCCCCCACTAGTCTCCCACCCTTTCCTCAGGCCTCTTTTCCAGAAATATCCACAAATTCAACACCGTACACACCTTTGAACCCATGCACCTGTCAGCCTGACAGAACACCAAACACACCAAAACCACAGGCCCTAAAGATATGGTGCAAAGAGGTGCAGATAAAGCAGAAACACTCTGCCTAGAACCACACCCAGGGTTCCCACCGTTGGGAGCCTGGCGAAGCGGCCACACCACCCATCCTTAGTTGCCCCCAGAGGGGCCGGGGCTGGCACACAGGGCGCTCTGGCTTCTGAGGACCAGGATAGACACCGGCATGAGGGGAGAAAGGCACGGCTGGCCAGGCCAGGCCAGGACAGGGGTTAATACTGTTTCCTGGAGGCAGCTCTTGGGGGGACGCTGTCCCACACCAGCCCTGGTCCATCTCTTCCAGGTCCATCTCTCACCCTGGAGTCTTCTGATGCAGGCTGGAGGGTGCGGGTTTAAGGATGAACTCTGGAAGGAGGATGGCAGGAAGGCCCATGTGTGAATGCAGACGAGACAAGCAGTGGCAAAGGACTCCATTTCTCCCATCCCAGGCTCTTTTCCTTTTCTTTCTTTCTTTGATATTTTTTCACTTCCACTGGCCCCCGAAGTGGGGTCCTCCTGGCCCATGCACTGCAGAGGAGACAGGGTTCCAGAAATGCCTGGACCTGCTTCCATGCGGGTCTTGCCTGCCATCTTGGCTCCATTTCATCTTGCTCATGCAACACGGGGTGAGCAGCGTTCGGTGCCTTCTAGAAGCTTGCTGTTCCCTTTTTCCTGGGGGAGGATGCAGCAGACGAGGAGGAGAAGGAGGGCATATGCTTTGCCCAGAAAACCCACCAGACCCCCAGCCACCAGACTGCGACCCCAGGCTTTAGGGAGTCTCTGAAAATCAGGCCCGTTCAGGCGGAGTGCCAGCTGGGGCTGAGGCCCAGGGAACTCACAGCTGTTCACATGCGCAAGTAGGTTTTCTCAGGCAGGAGCCTAGGAGCCCCGCAGCAGAACAGAAGTGAAGATGGTTATATACAATGTATATGTTTCGAAAAAAGTACTACTTGAAAAAAAAAAGAGAGAGAGAGAGAAAGAAAAGAAAAGAGAATAAGAAAACAGAAAAGAAAAACTACCCAATGCCCCTCCCCCCAAGTTTCCAACTCTGGGTGCTTCCCTTAAATATTGCCCTGGGAAGGGTGGGGTGCAGGGAGCTCTCGACTCCGGCTTAACGCTACTGGCAAAAGGGGTAGACAGTGGAGTCAAAGCCTTTAAAAGCATCGTTCAGGGACCCAGCGTCCTGCTCACCGTCGCGGGCCGGTGTATTTCCAGCAAATGTGCTTCCGGCGCGGGTCTTAGGCGCCTGTTTCAGGAAAAGAGAGTTGGCATGAGGAGGTTGTGCACCCCGGGCTGGGACGGGGCGCCCTCTGGTGGCGGGTCGCCCGTGGCGGTGGCGGGGACCGCAGCGGCCTCGGGTAGTTCCGATTGTAATTGGTCCCTCTGTCTGTGAACTTGGCCCCGCCCCCTTTCGCACTGGACCTCCGGAGTTCAGGCTGTTCCAGGCCCGCCTTGCAGGCACATGGGGGCTCCTAGGCCTTGGCGGCTGAGCTCTTGCTGTCGCCCTCGAGGCCCTTGGGTTGGCGTTGGCATCGGCAGTCGGCTCCGTGGCTTTGCCACCCACGTTGGGAGTTCTGGGGTCCTAGAGGCTGATGCGGCTCAGTACTCTGCTTCTCCTGCTCCCGCTGCCCTGGCCCAGGTCGCGGCTGCCAGCACGCGAGGGTCAAAGGAGGAGGTGACTAGGCGGGGGGGGGGGGGCAAGGACGACTCGGTGGGCCTGGCGGCTGGAGAGGGGTGCTTAGGGGCTGCCAGGCTTAGCAGCCTGGGAGGAAGCAGCAGTCTGCTGGTTTCTGCAGCGGAGGGTCGGTGCGTGTCTTTTTTTCACAAAGTTGTTGGTAATATTTCTGGACTCTATGGGATAAAGATATTGGCACCTTTTCTCATTTGTTAGCTATATCTTTACCTTTATATTGTTAAGGTCGATAACATTTACATTTTATTCTGTTTGCTTTGTCTATAAATTGATTATTGAAATTGAAAATCCACAGCAGAACTTAACGTTATTATGACTACACATCATTTACTGAAAGCCAAGAAATGTGCCAGAATTCAGTATTTGTTGTCCTAGTACCCAAGTCAAATGGTTTTTTATACCCCACTGATTTCTCAGAACCTGCCAATTTGTTCATTTGCTTCATATTTGAACTATGGCTTTCTTAAAGAGGTTCGTGTGTGCATGTGTGTGGTTGCTGTTGTTTTTCCTTGAGTTCAAATTTGCCTTTATTTTCTCATGTAATTTTCTCTACTACTTATTCTACTCTTGAAATTCTTATCTACTGCTTGGATTCTACTCCATTCTTCTCAGCAGATTCCTTATGGTACTTCATTTCTAGGCATGCTGTATAGCTGATTTCCTGAATTTGTTTCCAGTGGACTTTGGAATTAATTCTACACTTTTTGAGTATCTCATCTTTCCTTCTATTGGTTTTCAAATTTGTAGCACTTGAGAAAATTCTCAAGTAACTTCCTTTAAAAAATATGTATGGGGGGTTGATTTTCTTCATCTTTGCATGTTGAAAGGTATTTACCATGATAACTGAGTGGGTATGGAAGTCTAGATTCAAAATGTTGAATAATTTCCATCAGAGCTTTAAAGGCATCATTCCATGGTTTTCTAGTATTAAGGATTATCAAAGAGAAGTTTAATGTCAGCCTGATTCTCATTCCTTTCAGGGTGATTTTTTTTCTTTTCTGTTTGTAGGATACATATTTTTATCTTTGGTGTTCTATTGATAAAATGATATGATAATGACTATAAGGGTGTGTGTGTGTGTGTGTGTGTGTGTGTGTGTGTGTGTGTGTGTGTGTGTGTTTTCATTCATTATATTTATACATGGTGGGTCCTTTCAATCTAAAGACTGGGTATTTCACTATGGAGAACAGTATGGAGAATCCTTCAAAAACTAAAAATAGAGTTACCATATGTTCCAGCAATTTCACACCTGGGCATATATCTGGAGAAGACTCTAATTTGAAAAGATACATGCACTCCAGTGTTCATAGCAGCACTGTCTACAATTGCTAAGACATGGAAGCAACCTAAATGTCCCTCAACAGATGAATGGATAAAGAAGATGTAGTATATATATATAAAGGAATATTACTCAGCTGTAAAAAAGAATGAAATAATGCCATTTGCAGCAACATGGATGGACCTAGAGATTATCATACTAAGTGAAGTAAGTCAGACAGAGAAAGACAAATATATGGTATTATTATATGTGGAGTCTAAAAAAATTTGATACAAATGAACTTGTTTACAAACAGAAATAGACTCACAGACATAGAAAACAAATATATGGTTACCAGAGGGGAAAGGCAGGGGAGGGCTAAATTAGGAGTTTGGGATTAACAGATACACACTACTGTACAATAAATAGGTAAATAACAAGGACCTACTGTATAGCACAGGGAACTATATTCAATATCTTGTAATAATAAAAGTATATGTATAGAAATATATATACATAAAACGGAATCACTTTGCTGTATATCTGAAATGTAAATCAACTATACTTCAATTAAAAAAAAACTTTGAGAAAAACACTTAGAAAAATAAAATAAGGTAAGTATTTTTTTTTAAAGACTGGGCATTTATTTTTCCTATTAATGGTTTGACAGATTCCTCATTTTATCTTTTCTCTATCTGAAATTCTTATTAAGTGGATGTTATGCTGACCTTTCTACAGTCTCTCTCTGTCTCTCTCATACATTCTACATCTGTCTCTTTCTACTCTGGGAAATTTTCTACTTGACGCTGACTTTAATTTCTGACTTATTTACTATGTTCTTGTTAGTTTTGCATTAATTTCAAGAGTTCTTTCTTGTTCTTGGTTTTGTTTTCATGAGATGTTGACCTGGTTTTATCAGTCCTTATATATTATTCTTTCTGAATATACAAATTGGAAGTTTGGAATTTATTGTTTGTATTTGTTTTAAGCTATATTTTATCCTCTGAATTAGATCTTTTTCTTCTCTGATGTTTTCCTGCTGTTTTATATATATATATATATATATATATATATATATATATATATGTCTTTTTTCCCTTACTAGGTCTCTACTGAATAGGAAATTTGACCAGGAGCCCTGTAGTAGAGAGGGCTTGTCATCCGATAGACTTCACTTTAGGGTAAAGGGCAAGGAACCAGGCTGTAATAGGAAGAGAACCCAAATGCCAGAATAGCAGCCCAAATTCTTCCCAGGCAGTTTGTTTAATTTCTGTGGAAAAGAATCTTCTGGATTTTCTTGTCAAGGGTTAAATATTGAGTCGTCCACAGTCTGCCTGCCAGAGAACAGGAAAGGGCAAAAGAAAGGGAAGTGGGAAACCAAAGTATTTTTGTTCCAGTGGGCACACCTTTCATTCCCTTATGCTTATTATTTGCATACTTTCCCATTCCCACCCTCTATACTAGCCCACTAAGGTCTGGGGTCTTTTGAGGGGTTCTGCCTGACTTATTCTGGCCTCTACCCCAACTCTGCTGGATGCACCAGCATGCTCCTATCTACTTCATCCTCCAGAAGAAGGAGTGAAATATCCTCTCAGCTGTTGCTCCCCTCTTCACCACTAAGTTAACTCCATTTCTTAGTCTTTAACATTTTATTTGAGTCTTGAAAGGAAAAGGAGATGAATACATGTGCTCAATTAGCCATCTTGAATGTGAAGCCAAAACAAGCATTTCACATACATTATTTCATTTAGTCCGAATGCAGCCTCTAACCACAAAATAAGGACTTGCTTATCATCAGCTTCTGACCGCAAAACAAGGTCACATTTCCTTTGTGTGTGCAAAGTTTGGATGGTATGATTTTCACCCCACACAGTGGTTTGACTGCTCTGCTCATTCCTGGGAGAACCCAAAGAGGAGGTCTTAGCTGCCCCCAACAGCAGTCTGCCTGCCACGGCCATCTTCTTGCACGAGTTCACTTCTTCCATCTTCTTCCATCTTCTTATGTGAGTTAACTCCTAACTCCTATGAGAACTAAATGGTACTATTACCAGAGTTAATATAGATATTATTTAAAACACAACGGTGAATAATATATCTATATGTTTTATATATATAAACATAAAAGTATACATATAAAACAAATATATGAGATCATCTCAGATTATTTTTAAGTTAACTTGAAAATGAGCATTCATTATGTTCTTTCCGTTTTTCCCTGTAATGGTATGTGGTTCCTCAACATAGCTTTTGGTATTTGCTTCAAATTGCTGATAAATACGTAACTTCATTTTTATATTGAAAGAAAACTTTGGTAGGGTAGATTTCTTAAAGTTTCTTAGTTTGAGACTTAAAATTCCATCCTAAGACCCAAATTACACTCCTCAGCAGACCTCAGAATTCCTGAGAAGCATGTCACACTCACCAATGACAGCAGTAAAACAGAGGAAGCCTGTCATGCCAAGACAGCCCAACAAGCCCTTCTAGAATCTGCCATAATGTTCAGAAAGGGAGACTAATACATCATATGATAAAACGAAAATGTTACCCGACTCCTTTTTAAGTCTGAACGGACTCAATCTTTAAACAACCATCTATTCTGTTTCTACAATGAAAGAGCGGACCATGCTGTCAGTACTATATGATATTACCATAAAGAGAGAGAAATGTGTGGTAATGATCACCCTGAATTTGGCAGATAAAAAAGTGGTAGCTCCCCTTCCCCCAGAAAATAACAACCTTAAATTCTTTTTTATGCTAGAAGAAAAACTCATGGGTTGTTTTTTTTTGGCGGGGGGGTTTAATGCCTAGTCAGTTTTCTATGTCAACTTGACTTGCAAGGGTAAACTTACTTCATTGCTTGAACTAGTTCTCATCCCCAGTATTGAATCTCTGCTCTAAAAAGTGTTTTTCTGTGTTAGGCTATAATTGTAACCATTTCTGTGCTCCTGGATTATCAGCCTTGACATGAAATTTGTGCTCGATAGAGATAATGCTCTGCATTTTTTTTCCACATGGGCAGTTCGGTTCCTTCCCTAAGCAGAAGGATAATTAAAGGAAGGAAGACATGAAAGAAACGTGTCCAGGGCAAGGACCTCCTCACCAAAGAGATTAGACCATATTAAGAACACATCAGCTAAATGTAATTTAGAATCACGTTTTAAAGGAGGCACACAAGTGCAAAGCCTCTTTCAAATAGCTACAGACTGCATGTAGACTCTGTCTAGATAATTTGGAAATGCAAGTGATCTGTCTAAAAGGAGTTAACTGCTCAGCACAATCCAGTACCACTCCTGGAAACGTATTCAAGGTGTATGCTATTGTTTGCACCAAAAAGCTAGGGAATGCACTTGGGGGTCATTCTTATCTCATATGCACATACAGACCACAGAAGTCTACAAGCCCGTAACACTACCCCAAGGAATAAGTATTAACCATGCTTGGACAAAAATACTGTTTATGGTAGTCAAATGGCTAACTCACTCATTCTCCACCCACATCTGCAGACTCAAGAAGAATGTTCATTTCTCATCATTTGAATAGAAAACCAAACTCATATTTCAGTAGCCAAAATACAGGTCCCCTTTGGGTCTCAAGAGCCATCATTAAAATTGACACTAATTGGTGTCATCAC